TTCCCTCTCTTCCTGGGCCAACAAGAGTCCCTGTGATTCTGGTATTCGCCTAGGGGAGATATACAGCCCCAGTCCCCTTGTAGCAGATTGGGACCAAAGCCTCGATTCTTGAGAGGAGTTGAGAGGAGCTGAATAACTCCGCCAGCTCGTCCTCTTGAGAGGGTCAGGCCGTAGAAGCAGGGAAATAGTAGGTTTCTATAAACCTGCAACTCAAGAGTGTAGGGTTATGGTTAGGTTCCTGAAACGGGTCTCTACTGACCGGTCTGGGGACACTCACACAACCTCTACAGCCCCTTCAAGAGGGGACGGGGGTATTTTGTAACTCCTGACACCCCTTGGGTAAATGGCGTAATTCACACCAGACCTACCTCATGCCTAATGAGAATCAAAATTAAAATCACCAAAGGGCGACCCTCTTCCTCAAAGAGGAAAGCCCTCTTTGACGCCGAAGTACGAACACAGGATTATTAACCGCCCACGACCACTTCCTGATCATCTACCAAGATGATAACAACACAGAAGCACTATCCACTGCTCGTGGCACAGACCAGCTTAAATCCAAGGGATTTGAACCCGAGATGTCACCAGAGCTGAAGGCCAAGCTAATGCTAGTCCTAAAGCAGCTGGACAGAGAGCTGGTCAAGGAAACACCAGGTATCATCAAAGAAGATCCAGAAAGAAACCTACCAGGTACCAAGATTGGCAATATCTTTGTTATGAAAAACAGGTATCTAATGAAAATACAATCCACAGACCACAAGGCCGCCGCCAATATCCAAGAAACAGGGCTATACCTCTTCAACATCTATATCAGCCCCCCAAAAATGGAGCCTGAGCGGTTTACCACCATAGGCAATGCAAGCACTGCTACCGCTATGGGCACTATAAAAATAACTGCCCAGAGAAAGATAAAAGGCTAAAACTATGCTCAGAATGCGGGTCTAACACCCACAACTACAGAGACTGTTAGTCTGAAACCAAAAGATGCCTGGACTGCGGTGAAAGACATCGAACATCAAATCCCCATCAAAAGAGTAGCCGAACAAGCAACTAAACAAACAATAGCTGTCACTCAGAATGCATGGCTGGAACCAATAATAAAAGAAATGAAGGAGGAGAAAGAGAAACATAAAAAAGAACCACAAATAATCCTAGAGCTACTTGATGACCTCTCTATAGGCATCATGACGGCACTGATTCACGCTCACTTGCAAAACATCATAGAGCCTGGTCTTGGTTTTAGGCACCACACTAAAAAAAGTCTTAAAGAAAAACAATCTGCCAGATCTGGACCTTGGGGACGAGGATGCCTGGGGGATCTTCAAAGTTCTCCCACCTAATACAGTAAACACTACAACAGAAACCATACTCGCACAAACCACAATTTCACCACACCACACTCATCATCCATAACCTCATCTCGGCCAACAGGACGAGCCAGAGACTGAATTCTTTACTGCATCACAAAGGAAACCAACACCAAACCCAACACCAACTCCCACACCTACACAATCACCTGCACGCACACCCAAAACAGACATGCACAAACAGTTGCCACAACACCCAAAACCACAACAAACACAAGCAGTCAAACCCAAAACAACATATGTACACCCACCGCAAACACACAGACTACGAGACGGTTACAACCTCAACCCAAAAGCATATGGCATCCACCTCTTTGCTGCCCTCATGCTACAGACACCTTAACAGACAACAACTGGCATACGAGATACAACGTGGTACAATTAAATGGATATAAACAAACACCACATACCAAAACAGCATTCACAAACAAAAATTCACAAGGCACCTGCACGCAGGAAACATATTCAACCAGCCAGGCATGATCGAAAAGATCAAACAACAAAATCTCGAACACTTACAGAACGGTTGGTACATCCATCCAAGTAACATCATGGCTGTTTCACATAGCACATTACACTCA